TAAAAAGTATATACAACATATGAAAAACAGTTATGAAAGTAAATAGGTTTAATGTCTCAATATGTCCCTATTTTTGTTCAGAATTTGAAATAGGTCCCTTTATTTTTTGGCGTCTCAATTGGGTCCTTATTTTTGTTAATTTAATCCAAATAAATCCTTTTCGTCAATTTCATCAAACGGCATTAATGAATGTGTGACGTAGCCTGAAGACAGTATTGACACGTGTAAGGCCACGTCACACATTCATTAACGCCGTTTGATGAAATTGACGGAAAGGATTTATTTGGATCAAATTAACAAAAATAAACACCCAATTGAGGCGCCAAAAAATAAAGGGACCTATTTCAAATTCTAAACAAAAATAGGGACCTATTAAAATATTAAACCAAGTAAATATTTCTATTAACTTTTATACTATTATAATAATAAAACATTTAAAAATTATTATTATTTATTGTAAATAGATTTTTAATAAATAATAAAATTAATAAAATAGATTGTAGAAAAACTAGTAACGAAATATGCATATTTAAAAAATAGTTAAAAAAATCTTTATCAATAATTGTAAATTATTATTATTATTTTTATTTGTACTGTGTAATTACATTGATTTGAAATGTTCATGAGATCATTTCAAAGAAAAATTCTATGACGTGATAAAGGTAGAGTTGTCAAAATAGGTAACAATCTGCGGACCAATTCGGTCCATCACAGGTTTGGGTCGGGATGGGTTTGAAAAAATTGTATTTTTTTTATGCGGGTCAGATTTAAACTTGACTCATTTAAACCCGGCTCATGCAGGTTGAACCCGTGGTGGGCCGGGTTAGTCCATCAACTTATCTACCTATTTTTATTTTATTAAAATTTAATTTTAGTTTTATAAGAAAATATTTATTATTTTTTTTGTTTGAAAAAATTATTTAAGTTCCTTATTTTCAAAATTAATTAAAAGGAGTGAAATTTGTTTAGATTTGAATTATAGAAAGTTTGTAATTTTTTTTTATTTAAAACAAATTGTAATTAAGTGAGCTAGGGAGCCAACCCGTGGTGGGTCGGGCCGAGTTCAAATTTTTCTACCTCGCTAATAAATGAGCTGGGTTGGGTTGGCTCACTAAGTGACCAACCCGTGGTGGACCGGGCCAGGTGGCCTGTTTTTACAGCTCTAGATAAAGGTGAGTGAGTGTATGCATTAACATATGAGGACTCAAAAAGGAGATATTTTGAACTCTAATAACTATTAAGTGCTGTCAAATGGGTCATCCGACCCAACCTGGTCCGGCTCACCACGGGTTGACCACTTAGTGAGTCAACCCAACTCGACTCATTTATTAGCGAGCCAACCACAACGCATCACAGATTGATGGGTTAAATGGGTTGACTCACTGACTCACTTAATTACAACTTTTAAATCCAAAAAAATTACAATTTTTTTATAATTCAAATTTAAATCATTTCAAATTAAAATGATGCTAAACTCTAAAGATAATTCGAATTAAAAAATTAACATACAACTCAAATGTAATCCACAAACAAATCCAAAAAGCGAATAAATAATTTTATAATATTGATAATTTTTTGTGTCACTTATCCATTTATAAGATTAAAATCTTGAATTGATAGATTTATAATATTTTGCTTCCTTGAAACATCTTTTTCTTTATTCTCATTTACAATATAATAAAAAAATGTTAACTAATAATATTGAAACACAAAATAATAAATAATTAAATTAAACTAGGTGGCTTGGTGAGTCAACCCGCGGCTCACCACAGTTTCAACTCGGGTGAGTCGGGTTCTAAACGAGCGAGGTTGAAATTGGCCCGTATAAAAAAATTTTATTTTTTTCAAACCTAACCTGGCTTGAACTTGTGGTGGATCGAATTGGCATACGAATTTTAACTCATTTTGACAGCACTGCTATTAATGCTTAAATAAAGTAAGGTGAGTTAGTGGTAAAAGTTATGTGGTGAAAGGAGTAGGAAATTCTAGTTACGGTACAGTTGGTCCTCTAAAAGGGGCTAATGTTATAGGTGGTAGGGTGATAAATCATTTGTTTATGACTCTACATAGTATAAATATCACTACAAATGCATGCATGAAGTCTTATGTCAAAGTTATATATTAAGATAATTGAATATTTAATATCAACTATTTGTATGAATGTATGAATTTGTGGTATGTTTAATATGTGTGATTGATAAATTGGTATATTATGAAATTTTGATGAAATATTTTGTATATTAATTAGCTTATCCTTTCCTCTTATTTGTTTATATGTGTTATCTTCTTTTTTGCAATGATTATCTTAATGATGTGTAATAGATGAAGATGTTCCAGCTAATCTGATGCAGAGTGAGTGTGACGCAGTAATCTAGTTTAGGATATAATTTTTGTTAGGGTTAAGCATAATTAATTAAACTATAATATAACTATATTATTTAAGAGTTCGTATGAAAAAACTAAACTTATATAATTAACTAATGTCCAAACTGAATTTTGTATTCAAAAGTTAAGTATAATATTAACTACAGAATAATAGATTCCAAGAAAGGTATGTGCCTGATCCGAAAACATTCAATATATAACTACTTAATATAATATCCAATAAAAATAAACTGAATTTTTATACTGAATCAATATTTTTTAGCCAGATTTTATTTTTGGTTTAGTTGAGTTAGATTAGTTGAGAATGAAATAAAATCATAGTGGTGCAGTACTTCTGAAATGCGATATTAGATTGATTTACGTGAATATGAATTTAAACAAATAAAAATTAAGTAATTAAAAATGAGAAAAGATTCATACTATACATAATTAGACTGGGTTTTTTCATGGAGTTATCCATCTAATTTACGTTTTAGGACAAAATAAAATGGAGGAATAATGAAAAATTACTTAACAGAAGCATAGATCCAATTTTCAGTTAACTGCACTAAAAATATAAGTTTAGTTTTTTAAATTGAACTAGATAATTCTATAACTAGTTTTTGTTAAAATAGATTAACTTTTTTAGTATAAAATAGTACAATTAATTATAGTTTAGTATAATTAAGTTAGTTTTATTCAGTCCTAATTTTTGTTGTAAATCTTTTTTATTTTGAAAAATTCTAATGTATGTATATAATTTTTTATATATTTAGTACACGCTTTCTGGATGACTTAAATATAGTATTTGTATCCATCATAATGATTTGTGTTGTATTTTTATACTATTAAATGAGATATTAAAAAAATATAGTAATAAAATTTAAAAGTATTCTTTACTTAACTATTGATTTTATTCGTCACTTAAAATTCTTATTTGCATTGCGTTTTTCTGATATTACCATTGACAACTAATATTTGATTATTTTGTTTTTCATATTTGAATTATGAATGTTTTAAAAAAATTATTTTAATTGTTTTAACTATTTGTTAGCTGAATTGTTTTATTACATGTAGGTAGGTGAATTATTATTTCGATTTACTAGCTATATAAACATTTAAATATGGAAAAGAATATTTTGACAACCAGTTTTTCACATTATTGAAGCAGTTTAACAACTCGAAATATTTTCAGTTTTCTACTTTAACCAAGCAAACAATTATATGGTTTTACAGCTCCATGCACAAACCAAATACAATCATATCATATTCAATTGGCATAAACACTACCTTTCGTAAACTTGGAAAGTTTGGAGTATCAAACAAACATTTTCCATTTGCGAATTACCCTTATGCAGCTCCTCAAGATTTCATAATCCTTCGCTTATGAAAGCCAAATATGCTAAAGAAGTTAACGAAGCCCATACACCTTTGAAAATGTAAAATAAAAGAAAATAAATTAAAAATGAGAAATTCATAATAAAAGTTGAACGTTTTGAAACTTGTAATTATCGAGTATTGGTGATAAGCCACACTCACCAACGGAAGACCAATTAGCAGAAAAGCAAGAGATTAGCCCACTAAGTAGCTTTCGGCCTTCCTCTTCCTATCTTCCTTTGTTTCCCTTGAAGACTCTCCAACATTGCTTCCGCTTCTATAAAGAGGGCACATTCCACATTCTTTTATTGTCACAACTGATTTTAACTCGTTCACAACGGAGTCGTAATCTGGCAACTCAAACTCAAAGTCATAATGTTTCGGATCGATCTCAAAAGTGAAATTGCGAGCATCACGGAGCCTAAGGCTCATGCCGCTAGTCCTTACGGACTCCAAGTTAAATTTCCACATGAATGTGTGATCTTGATTGACAACTCTGTCTTTATCATTCCATTCGAAATAGTTGTCTAGCACATGATTATTTGGAATAATCTGTGTACCATTATCATCACATTCAAATTTTAGGTTATAACTAAAAGAACCGTATCTACCTTCAAAATCATTCGTATCTAACAGTTCAAAAACAACACACAAAGCGAAACCAATGAGCCTGTCATCGCTGCAGAAACTTAAATCTTCATTTATACTCACTGAAGGTCCATTACCACGAAAAGGAAACCAATGAGGAACTGCAGTGCATGGAAAACAGAAGAATACAGACCTATATGCATCGTCGGTCATCCTGAGCCTTGCATCCTCCTCAATGTTAGCACGAGCACCTGAATCCAGTTGTTGGGCATTGGTGAAATGAAATTTGAAGACACCCTCTTTGGAGTTTGAGAGGTTTCGAACAGGAGAATTTGACATCACTCTTCTAATGGATGTGCAATCCAATGCCACCAGTTGTTTTAAACATGGTGGAATCTGTGGGATGCATTCAAGCTTTTTGCAATCGCTCAAATCAAATGATTTCAAGTTCGAAAGATGAGCAATGCTCACAGGAAGGTTCACGATTCCGCTCTCACTCAGTGACAGTTCCATTAATGACGTCAACCGACCTATGTGTCTTGGGATTTCTGTTAATTTGGCACAACCCGAACAATCAAGTTTACAGAGATGCTTTAGATTAGCAACGGAGTCTGGGAGTGATTCGAGATTCGTGCATTTGTTGAGCTGCAGGGATCGAAGACTAACCAAATTGCCGAATGAGGAAGGCAGTTCTTTGATAGCCGTTTCTTTTAAGTTAATGTGAGAAAAAGTTTGTACCTGATCCGTGATCTCTGGGAAGGTCCTCAACCTTAAGCAACCACACAAATCAAATTTCCTCAACTTCAATTTGAAAATTGTGCTTGGAAAAGTTTGAAGTGATTCACAATAGGTAAGATCTAACTTACATAGTCTGGTGAGGCTTCCAATGAAAGATGGAATAATCTCAAGATTAAAGCAACCGCTCAAACTCAGTTCTTGAAGCCCTACCAAACGCCACAAGGATGAAGGTAGTGCCTGTATGGCTGTTCTGTCCAAGATGAGCACCTCTAGGTCTTCCATCGTGTCCTCAATCTCGGGGAAATTTTCCAATTTTGAGCAACCACCGAGACAAAGTTTCTTTAGGAATTTAATCTCAGAAAGGTCAAATGGAAATATTGTAAGGGAAGAACAGTTTGAGAGATCTATGAAACAGAGCTTCTTGAGACTTTGGAAGTTTAAGGGCACACCTCCAGTGAGTTGTATCGGCGTTTCATCATATACGTATATATTATTATTAGTCACTTCTTTTTCTTCTTCCTCATATCTCACAAAAGTAATTGAGAAAATTTGACTGAGTAAGGATCTTCTTGGAAAAAAATGAGGAGCACTATCGTTTGTCACCCTTGAGTCAGAAGCAGCCCAAAGGGAGGATCTTCGGAAAGCTCTACGTCCGTGAAATTGCTGTTTCAAACGAGGGAAACTTGAAAAAATTGCAGGTTGATACTCCGGTTTCTTACAAGGGGATCTTGAGAAAGTTCCACGTTGACGCTCCAGTTTCACATGAGGGAATCTGGGTACACTGGTTGAAAAAATTTTAAGCTTGTGACACGAGGAAACAATAACCAATCCTGGTGATCTGGATAGAATATTGCTGGGAACAGTTACACTTTTGAGATTATGACATCCATCTAAACGTAAACAACTTAGCTTGCTGAGTAATATGGAAGAGTGAACTTTAATCAACTTTCCACAATCATTGAGAATTATTTCTTCAATATTTGGTGACAGGGAAAGGTCTTGTATTCTTTGAAGTTTATAAGAAGAACTGAGGTTGAGCCTTTTCAATTTGGGTAAACTCTGCCACAAAAAAGGAAATGAATAAGGTAATAAAGAAAAACTAAAATAAAGTTTTAAGCAATTTTATCTATTTTTCTTCGGTATACTCTTAGTTACATTATCTATTGACTCTATATTTTACATAAATACCACTGTTATAAAGACCACAATGTGAACTAACCAAATTATGCTCGTTATAAATTTGATAGTTATTATAAAAATTCACAAAATTTAACATGTTTGGTTCTCTACCTAAATTTACATCTTTATAATTTCAACCTAAACTTATTATGGATTGATAAAACTTATGATTGTAATTTATAATAATAGATGAGAATGTGCAAAATACTTTATATTACGCATGTATAAACTATTTATCTTTATTTATCTTCTCACATCTCTCTGCTTCTTTCTCATAATAATATATGTAAAAATTTAAATGAGAATGACATTACTCTTAACATCTTAACAGAACAACGAATTAACAAAGTAAAATGGTTGTCCTATGAGGGTTAAAATTGAACCTTAAGTAGATTGTATGTCAATCGTTGAGGGCCTTGCTCTACCAATGGTTTTTTTTAAACAAATTAATATATAAATAAAAATAATTTATTTTAATTTTAGTATAGTTTTTATATTTAGCATTTCCAGAATTTTACATCAATTTTCACACCCTTAAATATTTTTTTAAAATCCCGCACTAGTATTACTTACAAATCATAAATAGCATTAAACCAAATTTAAAAAAAAAAGAAAGATATATATATATATAT